GTGAGTGTTCTCGGTGGTCAGGAACAAATGTAATCGCATGGCAGGATGCTGTAAAAGGACCAAACTTCAGCCAGGAGAACAACTGAGATAATCCATCCACAATACGAGGTTAGTCATTCATATACTGCTGCATGGGCTGAGCTGTACTTACATCCTAAGGTTTTAAAAACTGAGCTTAAATAAATGATTAGAGGTAATAAAAGCCGAGGGAGGTCAACAGTGATCACTGACTGTTTTAGGAGCTTTTTGAGATCAAATAGAAGAAAATACAAAACATTAAACATGTTAACAACACAAAAGCCATATTAAACGCAGACTACTTTAGGCCCGGAAGTAGGATTCGTCGTGTCATCACTGAACAACCGGATAAATAATGAACAATTATTAACTCTTTTTTTTTTTTTGCCTGTACTTTAACAATGGGGCGATCGTGGCTCAAGAGTTGGGAGTTCAGGAGTTCGCCTTGTAATCGGAAGGTTGCCGGTTCGAGCCCCGGCTTGGACAGTCTCGGTCGTTGTGTCCTTGGGCAAGACACTTCACCTGTTGCTTACTGGTGGTGGTCAGAGGGCCCGGTGGCGCCAGTGTCCGGCAGCCTCGCCTCTGTCAGTGCGCCCCAGGGTGGCTGTGGCTACAATGTAGCTTGCCATCACCAGTGTGTGAATGGGTGGATGACTGGTTGTGTAAAGCGCTTTGGGGTCCTTAGGGACTAGAAAAGCACTATACAAATAAAGGCCATTTACCAATCAGAATTGTTGTCTGAAGGCCACGAAGGATGCCCAACGGATTAATTTTTTCAAGTGGAGAAGATATGGTAATGCCATATTGGTCCACTTGATTGGATCTATTTAATTTAATTTTATTACAAATTGGACAGACAATTAGACAGAAAGAAAGACAGAAAGAAAGAAAGGGAAAATTAAAAATAGAGGTGAAGGAGGACAGTAAGACAAGACACTGAGAAAATCCATTGGATCACCTGTTACAAGGAGAAAAAAGAAAACAAACAACAAGAGAACAACACAATACAGAGATCAAAGACAACAACCTAGATATGTGTAAGTAACACTAAATACTAAATATTAAATTGTCGAGCAGCACGCAAGACTGACAGTGAACGATATGCTTTAAGGTAGCAGCCAAGGAAGATATAGTTTGTGTCTGTGAGCAAGCTTGAGTTCAAAAGGTTTATCCATGTAACGATCTGTTAGAGGGTGTGGGGAGACAGAGCCCTGCCCCCCAAAGCATGAAGCAGGCATGGACCCAGGCCCAGACATCCAGAGGCCCACCAGAGTGTGAAAGCCCAAAGAGGACCACCGGAGAGGCAACCGCGCCGGAAAGAGCTGAGGAGAGCTCCAGATGTGGGGTCACCTAGGAGCTACGGTGCAGAAGCCACAGGGGGCTGCGGTGACGAGCCCGCAGCCAGTTGCGCCAGAGCAGATTGAGCACAGGTTCCAGAGGTCCGAGGGAACCCCACCCCCCGGAAGGGGCCTGACCTGGCCCTGCCAAGCAGCTGCTGGGAGTGAGCCGGGTACATACCTGAGCGCCCAGTCCCGGACATCAACCACCAAGGCACCGACGGCTAAAGGCATCAGCCACCGGCAGGGAGTGTTGTGGGTGGAGACAAGCCTCCACACCTGGGGGGGGCCTGAGATGTTCCCAGAGAGGAGGAGGTGGAGAGTCAACCGGACACACACCAGACACAAGCTTACATTCCCACCCTCATGCAAACAAATACAAATACTCAGCACTCGCCCAACGTGGAGAGAAACAGGAATGAACACCCATTCACACTCTCCAAACGTACTCTATACTCCCAGGTCCAGGTATCACCGCCCTCAGGGGGGCAATCAGCCCCCTGACCCAGGAGATGTTACCCTTTTCCCTGGGGTGGAGGCAAGCAGACTGCCCCCGGCCCAGCAGCCGCAGGGATGGCCCAGGGTCCCAGACCCCGACCATACTGTCAACTCCTCCCAGGCCCCTGCCCCCAGTAAGCAACCGTTAACTATTAAATATATTGCGTTAATTTGTAGCCACTAGTTAGCTCAGCACAAAAACAGCGCACGTGGAAATGAGCTAGCCTTGTTCTTTTTGTTTCTAACAATTAAATGCAACATGTCAGTCTATTAATTATTATGCGGATAAAGCACATGTGCTTCGGATTTCACTTTTAATTTGCTCAGATTCTGGACTCTATAAGCAGTTCAGCTATGTATCCCCCTGCTAGGGGGTTCTGTATCAGGCTGGAGAGGCCCCAAAAGTGAACATTTAATCGTTTAAATGTGAGGAAGCCAGAGTACCCGGAGAGAACCCAAGCAAACACGGGGAGAACATACAACCACCACACAGAAAGACCCCAGCCTGATGGTGGAATCGAACTCGGGACCTTCTTGCTGTGAGACAACAGTGCGGCCCATCTCATCCTATGCATCTTATCTCAGGTTACCATTAACAACAATGCTGACGTACACCAAATTACCACTGAAGAGTGAGAATATTTTCTTTCTGATGCGCTTGATCAGAATAGTTCCTTCTCCAATGAGATCCAGCCTGGTTTAAACCAGGGCACTGTTGTGGTTTGGAATGAATTCGCCACGGCCTGGATAAGTTTACGGTTCTCTCATTCAAAGTGCAACTCATCCATCATGTCTTTGGTATGAACAAGTTGTGCTGCTCAAGAGTCTCAGCTCAGGCTTTAAAAGCTTGCCAGTAAGTTGGGTTTTCAGAATGACAAAAATGTTATGTAAGTGTTTTGGAGTTTGTACATGCTTTGTCTCTAGGGGCCACAGTAATATAGAGCCGACTCATAACAATCACAACAGTGTAAGGGATATTTAAGGCAAAGTAAGGGGATCAACAAAGTCATAACGAATATTTGCTTGGAAGCTTACAGAGTTGTTAAGATATTTATTTCTGAGTATCAGGGAGGCAGAATTTATTATTTGTGCTGTCACACTAGAAGAATTGTCAAATCTTATGCTGCTGTACATTTAATTTAAAAATCACAACCAAAATGTGTTAAAAATGTATTTTATATGTGCAGAGAGACATGTTCTCATACTGAAGATATTTTGTTTGATCTTCTCATGGACCTCAGAAAAAAAAGGTCAAAAAAAGTGTTTTAGTATAAGGCACAAAATGAATGTAGATAAAAGCAAAAACAGGTTAAAGGAAATAATGATGCAATGCTCTGTAGGAAGCAGGAAACGCCGACAGTTTCAAAGTCAAACATGCGTGAGACTTGTTGAGTAGCTCAGCTGGTTCATTTAAAAATAAACACACTGCTGCAAAGTCCTGTTGGCATGTGCATATCTTAATGAGGGAAAACAAATGCCAGTAACATTGCCAGTAAGTTGCTCTGGACTGACAGGAAGTAAAAGATGACCTATTTATTATCGAATGAATAAAACATTTTACAACAGTAAACGGTGAAGTAGCTATATGACTGGAAACGTTTGTTTTTTCTTTTTTTTCTTTACTGCTCCCATGAAAATGTGGTAAATATATCTATGCTGTCATGTGAAAGAAGAAAGTATGTCCTCTTTCGAGTCTAAAGTTTTACATATCACATTGTTTAAAAAAAAGAACTGTAACAGTGACATATGACATATTAAAAACGAAATCAAAATGCAGACAAGTCATATTTGTTCAGTCCTTTTTCCTCTTCTACTGTCACAACTGTAAACATTTAATGTGCTATATGAGGCCTGTAGAGACTGAAATGTAGATCATGGGTTTGTTCCATTTTTGCACTTTCTGACCTTGGTGGGAATTTGCTGGGATCTCCACTCCAGAGCTCCAGACCAGCAAACTGCAAAAACTTTTTTTTCTTTAACGACACAACACTGTAACAACACTTTAACAACACAATAATGTAATCTACGATCTAAGTTTCAAAGACAAACATGTTGGGAAACTTGTTTAGTCAGTCACCTGATTCGAAAAACAAAATACCTAAATGCTCCTCTGTGCAGGTTAAATAATAAGTCAGCTGTAATTAAACACCTCTAAATGTAACAATGCAAAACAGAAAGAAGCAGCATGGTGGTGGTTTTTAAAACTTTTAAAACTACGGTACGGCATCACTAACCATACATCTGTTTAGGTTCATCTCATCTCGCATCAACCTGATGGATTTTTCTTTGTATTAATAGAGAAACTGATCAAAAAGTAAGAAACAGAGGCAGAACGAAGGTACCACAGAGTCGAACATTCACAAACATATTCACGTGCGTACACATTCACACACTGTTTATGATTTGTTTTTCTGCTTGTCTCAGTTTTATTTATGATTTGTGGCATATAGACAACTCATTCTGTGCACCTCGTCTCAGCTATGTTAACTGTACTATCTCTGTCATCGCTTGCTTTCTGCACAGCCAAACATAAACACCAAGAAGAAAACAAGCGAACTACCGGAATACAAAGGAAGAAATTACATCATGATGCACAATAGACCCGTCCGACTGGACACCCCGGTGCTGCCGGAATGATGTCGGGAATGCACAGATCTATCAAAGGAAACAAACAGACGGGGAATCACACGGCACAAAAGCTTCAGAGTTTCAGTGATTTTCTTTTGTGTGAAAATGTTTAAATAAATCATGAACCACATTTCTGTGCACTCTCAGGCCCTGTTTACCGTGGTCACTGATATGTAGGAATACCCTTTTGATAAAGGAGTAGGACTGGATCACTTTAGTCTGAGAAATGTGATTTTTAAAGTTACTGCAAACTGTATTCACTAAAAGTATTCTTTAAAAAAAAAAAAGCAAACTGAATACCTTAAAAGAACTGCAATGTTATATTATAGAGATGATAAAGGTTCATTAGCCTTACATATAATATAGCCTAATAGGGACATCTAGTGGCTAAAACTTGTCAAATCTGCTTCATGAGTTACGTGAATGATTCCTAATCCAATACAACAAATAAGGCTTTAGAAAACAGCACACACAGCAGAATGATATTCATTTTTATTCCGTTTCAACTCTACAGGCGGAGAAAAATGACAGAATTACAGAGATATGCTTGAAGGTGCAGTTAGGAAAGAAAGTAAATCCACCTGCTGGTGTTTGGTTTCTTCCAGTCTGATCCGTCTGCCACACTTTTAGACAAAGAAAAAGCCGAGCTCAGAGGTGGCAATGCAAGAAAAAAGGCAGCTCTGGTGCGCAGTCAGCTGTAGCCTCTAATAGGGGATTGGTCCATAGTAGGCAGTGTAGGCGGCGATGATGCCGTTTATGTCCATCATGTGCTCACAAGCCACGTTGGCCTCACACACTTCTCTCAGGCTGAATGGAGGAGAGAGGACACACACACCGTTACTTATGATGTTTCATACCTTCATGAAAACTTTCCATATCCAACCCAACCCTATTAAAGATAAGAACATGTCTAAAAACATGCAGCAATAAGGTTTGTAGATAAGGTGCGAGATACCTCTCCAGCTGTACCAAGGATAACTGTCCAGCAGCTCTCTTCTGCCTCACCACTGTGGAGGCCTGCTCCCTCTCCACAAACAAACCTGCACATCACAGTCATAAGACATCTGTCAACCTGCTGTTGTTTATGAAATTATTTTTTTTTAAAAGATCAGTATAGCATAAAAACAAAAAAAGTCATAGAGAAAAAACAACAAACAACAAAAAACAAGAGTATAGAATATTTTTTGCAAAAAGTCATTCATCATTCATCATTCTTGGTATATCATTTCACTCATGCAGTGCCTGAAAGTTCGAACCCCTTCTCCATTAAACTCTGGACGAATAAACTAATATTAATCATACCCTCCTTAGCAGGGTTGTCACCAGCAGGCTGAGGGTCGGTGGCAGCATCTATCAAACAGAAGGGGAAAAATAAGAACAGACTAACTTTAAAAAACTAATTTCGTTTAAAGGTTTAAGGTTAAAAAATTACATTGCAAATATTGCTACAGCTCTTACCTGAAGCGACACAGATAACTACCAAGAAGCAGAGAGCCAGGATAGCCACGGTCTTCATCTTTTCTTTCTTTTTCAGCCTTCAGTTTAAGGGAAAATGGCCCGAGCTGTATCACTCACTCTCTCCGTCTTTCCTTCTCTTAGACATATATATGTAAAAACACACTCGGTTTATAGATGTAGCCCTTGTGTGACATGGATATGTGATTGGTTAGGGAATCATGTATCACACACCCACACAGATGCAGAAATACACACCTCTGCAAAAATGAAGTATATATATGTATATGTAAAAAAAGAAAGAAAGAAAAAGGCATCCACACTCACAGCGTTGCAGAATAAGGGGTCCAAAAGGTGGGCAATGTTTTAAAGCATAGGTGAGGAGCCACAAATATATGCCACTGGAAGGATCTTTCAGTCAACATTATTTTACAGCTTCATTTGACCTACTTACCAGATTTGTGTTAAGAATCACAGTTTCCTTTTCCTCATCTTTGCAAAATTTGCAGTCATCTCTGTTAAAATAAAAAACAAACAAAAAGCAGACAAAAAACAGAAAGAATGAAATCAAATCAAATCACTGTCACCGATATCTCATCATAGTAATGATCGTAGTAATATAAAATTTAATGAACTCTTTCAGGAAAGCAGCTCGGACAGGTCAGACTTTTAAAGCACCCACACACTTGTACATTTAGTTCAGTAAGTGCATGAGGCAGAGAAAAACCATGGCTTACTCACTAAAAAGGAAAAACCACTGTCCCACATTATGCTGCATTATTTTAATCTGAGGGCTTTCTTTTTATTGCAAACCACAGTGATTTCCTACATAGAGAAAGCAACATTTAGAAACAACCATGTATGTTTGAAGCTTTGTAGACGGGCCATTTAAATGTGCACAGATATTTTTCGACAGTTAAGCAGAGGAAAGCTGCATGATGTCGAGTGGAACATGTCGTTTGATTTTTAATTAAAACACAACTTCCCACAAGCAAAGTGCCTAATACTCTCATGCCACTCCTAAAATGTAATCCTTTTGTGGGGTACACATCAAACATCTTTTGTTTCAAGCAGACACTGCAGGATTACCTGTGGTTCGGCAGCTCCTCTCTTGATGTCATACGATATTAGCAGGGTGGGCAGAACATTCACACTGTTGGGGGATCCTCATATACCAGGGTTATAGTTGTGGGTTGGTGCTATCATAGCTTTGCAGAGCAGATCTACATGCTGTAGCTCTGTACAGTCACTAGGAGGCAGTGTGAAAAATATGTGGCATAACCTGTAAGAGGTGAAAGTCAAGTGAAAAAGTGTTAAAATCAATCTGTCTGCTGTAGGCATCGTCTATGTTTCTCACACTGCTTTTTTTTTTTAATGTTCTGCATGTCTTCCTCTTTGTGGTGATATACCACTCCAGTTTAACTAAACTTTCAATAAATATTCATCCTACACATAGCATCATCACAACTTGGCTGTGTTTTGTTCTAAGGTGTGAAAAAAAGAAGGCAACCAAACCAAAAACAAGGTATGGGTCCTCACCAGGGGTCAAGGGTGAAACCACAATGAGCTTAGCGTCTGAGGAACTGCTGGGATTTGAACATGCTGGGTACCATGACTGGAATCACTGAGAACTTACACAGATGTTATGCACTGTTAGTTTTGTCAGATTATTGCATGCAAGCACTTGGCATTGTTTGCTCACCAAAATTATGTGCTCTGCAACACGAGTGCAGAACCAAAAATCCTACATCAAATTAGCCTCCAGCTTTAACATAGGCAAACATAGCCTTCTTTAACTGGTCTCAGCTGTGCTGGCTTGTTAACTGCTGACTGTGTTCAGCTGTTGGTGTACCTTGCCAAACAGTTCACTACCTAGAACCTTCAGGGAAGTTGTACCTGGAAAACTTGCATTGGCACCAGACCAGGTGATGTGGATAGGAAAACGGCTTTGACAGGGGACATTTGAGTCAAGTCACTTTGCTATTACATAAAACTGAAAAAGAAAATGTGTTTCCACTAACACTTGCAATGCATAATTACAAACATGCACACAAAGTACACTCACAGAGACCACAGTTACAAAAGTAGACCACATGTCTTAGGAGGTAGAGAGAAAGAGGAGAGACTTTTGTATAGGTGCAGAAGTCGATCACTGAGTTCACCACACACTAGGACAGCTGACTGTGAGCGCACGATATCTTTAACATTGCAATTCCCATTTGTTTTGCAGCTTTTGAGTACAGTCACGACTCAAATAGTACAACTAGCTGCACAAGCTGATGAATAACACGTTTTTAGTTTCAAAGAAGCATGACAGATACGTCCTAAATCTGACTTGCATCCATCCACTCAATGTCCTCCTCAGTCTCACCACAACTGCTGCAGAAATGATAGTAGTTGACTGAATTTAACTGAAAAATTAAACGCAGCTTGCACTTCAGTAACTTCTCAGCAATGTGGTTGTTTTTCACATCCTTGGAAACAATGGCAGCTGTTTTCCATTCGTGAACTAGAGCCTTGTTGATCAAATCTTGGTATTTGGCTTTCTTCAGGTGGTGAGAGATAACTAACCCGCCCTCCCAGGTCATTTCAAGTTCAGTTATTAAGATTCTTTTGTGCTTCAGGACCGTAGAATCAAGTTTAATCAGAGGAAGGTCACAGAGGTCTTTCTGTCCTCCTCAGGTCAACTCGCATTTTTCCAGTCACAAGTTTAGAAAGGACGACATTGATCTGTTGTTTCTTGCCTTTGATCCTCTGTAGGCTGTCTGTGTCCACTTGCACATTTTTGTAAGGACCATATCGTGCCTCCAGCTGTAACAGCTGTTTTAAGAGATCTAGTCGTGGTACCCTGGATTACCTCCAAGGTTAGCGATCACATGGTAGTTTAATGGTGTACTAGAAATCATAATGTCAATGCTCTACTGAATACCGTCCCAGTAACACAAACATATCATTTTTATTTTCAAAGCTGAGCCTTTTAAGTTCACTTTGTGACATGGATGCCCTTTGTTGCTATTTCTAACTAGAGATTTCGAAGCAGGACCGGTCCGGACAGTAGTAGAGCATATGGGTTGTAATTTCACAGTCTGGGTCAATGCTGGTGCCTTTTGTCTCGTTTCAGTGACAGACTACAAGGATTTACCCTCAGGACAATTATAATTATACACTTTCGTGGCCATGTGGCAGCACAGACAGACAAACATCCAGTATAACTGTCATTTTACTTCTACAGCATTTTGACATCTGCCATGTGCTGAGCTGTCCTTGTGTCTGTCTGCACATGTGCAGTACATTCTTCTCAAGACTGCAAGAGACCAGACACCGACAGTGCATACTGAAATCATAATGTAACTCCTCAACACGTCAGTTGTGTAACAACACATTCAAGAGAGCTTTTTAGATACTTGATTTCTTCCCATTTTACTGCACTATGTACTTCTGCTGCACTACAATACTGTACTTTGTTTTATAGAAGAACTCACCAGATTTACATTTGAATTCTAAACCATGTGATAAACACTAGAATAACCAAGTGGTTTCCCGTATTTATAGACTGTTTGTGTTAAAGTGGGCTTCTTACATTTATATAATTTCCTTGGGGATTAATAAAGTATTCTGATTCTTGTAATGTGTCTCATATTTATGCACAAGGCCGTATTTAACTTTCCTAATGGTTCTTAAGCACTCCCAAATATTGTTATATTACATATAACATCTGGTATATATTGAAAAACACTGAGAATCCCCAAAGTTGTCACAAACTCATGTGGCAAGCAAATTGCAAAAACAGGATTAAGACCAAACCCATTAAAAGTCATTATATTTGTTTATTGACAGCATAAGTAAGTGGAGATTGTAAGAAATGGTTAGCGGAAAGTGAGCCAAACGCTTCACTCGAGCATATCCCGTAAAGCTCATAAATGCTGGGATCATGCAGTGATACTTGATAAAAGTCATCCTGAGATTACACAAGAAACAGGCTGTAAATTTCTACATGAATATAATGATGGGCTGCTGTGTGATTTGAGCCACATTGACTGGAAGTTCTGGTGTTTATATATAAAAAACAGTTTTCTTGCCAAAAGAGCCCACAAAAACAATTACATAAATTATCTAAAAACTGATGATATGTGGACTAAAGGACCAGATGATAATGAGACTTTTGCATGTGAGGTCCAGCTTAGTATCGGCGAGTCACAGCAGGCCGCCGTGGTTGACTTCTAGCGCCAAAGTATCTGTTGTAGGCCTGCTGGGCACCGTGGTGATAGGCATAGAAGCGGCAGGGGGAGTAGTCCTCGCAGATCTCTGCGCGTCTTTCTGCTGGAGACTTGAATGTCCTGGGAATTAAAACAAGAAGGTTTTCAAAATGAAGAAAAGTAGAGGAACTCTAAACAGAAATGAATTTAATAATTCTCTTTTATCCTGCACTCCAGGCTCTGTGTTTGTGTCTGTGGATTCTTGAAGCACATGTAGATGTTTAATGGTCCAATTAGGCTTTGTCTTAATGAGGCACAGTGCCGTATACGTATGGCAAGCATGCATTTTCTGTGGGTTTGTGGTTTTAAACATGCAGGAGATAAAGTGCTCTGCATTACATGCCTGCCCATGGTTTTAGGTTTTACCTCCTGAAGTTGTAACTGCCGAAGCCATTCCCTCTGGATGGGATGTATATGTTGCCTCTCTGTGGTGGGATGAATGAGTTGGCTCGGTTTGGAGGCACAAACAAATCTGAAACCACAAAACTTTACTAGTGGGAAAATTTGATTTCAATCAGCATCTGGCATGCCGGTCATGCAGCAGATCAGGTGAAACAAGGGCTGAGGGCATGTTAGTAAAGACTAAATGAGGATTAAATACATCACATTTGTTATAATGGCATGCATGTTTTTCCAGAACCGAGAAACAACATTTCAGTCACCTTCAGTGGATTCTGTGCTTTCATGAGACTCTACGGGAAAAACATGGAATCGGGTTAATCATAAATGATGAATGTCTTATTACATTTTGTTATATTGCAGGTTATGAATAAATAATGGCTGCCGAGCGATAGCAAAGTGAGGGCGTCTGGGAGGATCTATACCATAGCAGACGCAGAGAGAGACTGCAGCACAGAGTGCCAGAAGACAAAGAAGGCTCCTCATCCTGGGGTTTGTTTATCTGCCTGCCTGCTGGAAACAAAGCAGACAAGTATTTTTGGTAAGTCGTGGTAGTGCTGAAGTAAGAGTTAGATAGGGAGTAGGGAAAAAAATAGAAAAAAATTAGACAAAATAAGGCAAAGGGAAGGAGGCAGAACACTTTTTTGCATTTTGAGGGTGGGTAAACAGACCAAAACCTCAAGCTGGGGTAAAAAGTGACAACATTTCTGTGGGTTTTGTGCAGATAAACAACCAATATATGAAAAACCAATTTAAAAAAATCTCTGTGCATGCTGGCACAGTGCTGCAGATTTTTTTTTAATGGAACAAACACAAAACCACAGATATGAGTCAAA